TAACCTCTTACTATCCCTACATTCCTAAGATTCCCTAAGCTGATGATAAGACATTGAGAAAATACCCTTGGACCCATGCCCCTAGAAAGAAGCCTTCTTGTTATAGAAGGCCTGTCTTCTGCTAAAAGAAACTTCTGGAGGCTGCACAGCCCCATTTAAGTTTTCCCACATTAGCTTACCCTGTCCTCCTCCCCTCAGTGCCCAACATTGCTCTTTCATTCTCTCTCCTATTGTTTTCCAAACATCCCTCCTTTCATGAAAGCTGTCTGGCTGGGAGCTTAAAATATTGTTGGACAGTAAAACCTACCCATCAGGGCCAATCCAGTCATGTCTGCTCAGTCATGTAGCACAGTAAGAGTGGGGTGGAGAAGTGGGAGATGGGTTTTTAGGCATCAAAGGAAAGAGACCAAAGTTGCCATTTTGCTACTGAGCACCAAGGGAGAAAGAGAGCACATATTTCTCCGGGGGACTCTACTCCTATTGGCAAGTTTTCTTAGAGTGATATTCAATTGTAGCCTTCCTGTCCCACCTACCCCTACCACCATTTCTTTCCTAGATTAATTGAAGGGTCATTTCTGGACTTCTCCAAAAGGAAGAAGGTTGCCACTAAAGTTCTGTTTTGAGTGGGGATGACTGAACTTCGGTTCTGAAAACCCTCTTGGAATTAGCAGAACAGTTGGCAGAGATATGGAAGGGAAAGGAAGGTAGGAATGAGGGATGGGAGTCAGGGATGTCCATATTTTAACTATAACTTGACTTTTTAAAGTCTTTTCATTTTTCAGAATGAATTAGCATGTCTCCAGGAATCCAGAGGGACCTAAACTAAGTATTTGATGTTTATGAAACAGTTTTGAACTTTTTCACTCAAATTCTGGGAGTAATAGTAATAACTATTTAGTGCTGTGGGTGAAAGGGAAGCTTCACACTTGGAATTTTCAATGTTGGAGTGTTTCATTGATTACAGGAATGGGTCTGGCTAAGAACTGTAAAACTCTTCCTGGGAGTAGCTTCTTTATCTCTCTGTGGGAGCTACTGGCTAAGTAACTACTCTAGAAACATGAATGGAGGCATATTTGCTGTCCATTGTCAACCAGAGTGGTAAGTGGCTATCTAATCCTTTGGGAAGCTTGTCAACATAGATGTGTATGCAATTCTGACTTTTCAAAACCAGGAGAAATCTGTGTTATACTGGAAATTGCCCTGGGCTTGTCACTAGAGAGCCAGGACACATATCCCACCTCTGCCCTCACTAGCTAAGTCATCTTACTTTACTTCCTAGCTTGCGTTCCTACCTGGTAATGGGGGTTGGTAATACCTAGTTCATTAGTTCTCAAACATCTACCTGTGGATGTGTCAGTTTTGGTCAAATGAATTTTTCAGCAGCCAATGATAAAAGTGTGAGAATGATGTAGTAAACAGCATAGTAACTTTTTTTAAGTTAAATGTGTTTGATGTAAAGGCCCATCTTTCATTCTGAAATTATGTCTTTTGTAGTTTTGTGGTATTAAAATTTCCCTTATTTTGAAATGATGATGAAAACAGACTATAGTCATAGTTAGTGATCTAATAAGGTTCTTATTTTTATGTCCATGCTTAGCAAAATAAGAAGTCAGCAGCCCTATATTGGTCACCCTATTTTGTTGTTATTGTATTAATCTGTGAAGAATCACAGACCTAGTTCACAGTATGTTATAAGGACTGAAATAAAATATATGGAAGCATATAATTTATAAATAGATAAGGGCTACCTAAACCTAAGGTGTTATTTTAATTATTACCTAAAACCAGGATACCCTGATGTTATGATGGACACCCTGGAGGTAGAAACTGAACTCCACCATTTAGTTTCCATTTATAATCTGTTCGCTAAATTTTCACAAGCAAGAGAAAACAGAGAATTGCATATTTAAAGAAAAGAAGAGAAATATTTTTCCTTTAGTTTTGATTTCTCATTGCTCCAGTGAAACAGATCGTTCTGACTTCCTTTAAGTATAATTTTAATTGTTAGACATTAGGAACTTGAAGCACTTTCCCTTAGCACTTCTAAAGCTTCTTTCCTTAACAGCATAGTTGGCCTGTTTCAATGGCATAGAATTGAAAAAACCTTGTCCTAAGTTACTGTTTCTCTCCTTTCATTGTTATAAGAAATGTTTTAACTAGACTTAAACACACACACACACACACACACACACACACTCACTCAAACAATGCTAGCATTTCAGGGTAGGGTGTGGAAGAGACTTGCCTGCCTTGCTTGGGTTTGGAAATTAAAAATGGGGTAGTCAGGAGTGTCTTCATGTGTCATGAACATGTGCTATGACACTCATGTTTGATCTTATACAAACTGTGTCTTAAAACAGCAAGTTTAGGGTCAATTTACTATCCTTTTTTAGTAATTGACATTTCTTTGCAAGTACTCAATCTCCCCACTGTTATCTACAGCAAAGAGGAATCAAGTTCTCCAGAATCTAAATAATGCTGGTATTACATGCACTCAGGGACTGAGACTTTCAGATTTCAGATAGTAACTACCAGTCCCATCCACTGATGTCTATGGAGCTCCCACTCTGTGATAGTCTTTATTCTGTGTCATGATGGTTCACAGAACATGAAGACAAAATGGTACCTGCCCTCAAGAGCTTTTGCCCTAAATGGCAAGGACAAGACTACAGACATACAGTCCTGAGAGCATGGGTTTGCTACACACATTTATGTGGGTACATGAGTGAAATACATGCAGAAATCCTAAAGGACTATAATGGTACATACAATATAAGTAAGATTTCAAAACTGAGTTGATATATTAATGAGGATAAGACATTAGTAAAACTCGATTTACAGTACAGACGATCTTAAAAGAGTAAACTACACAGTTGTTTTAACATGAATGTCATAATTAACTATCTGATAAGAAATTCTGATTTTTTTTTCTCTTCCACCAATTGGGTTTACTCTTGGGCTACTTACCTGATTGTGATGTTTCCCACCTTTTGGGTGAGAAGTCAATGTGAATGACTGCCACTCTTTACAGGGCAAGCACTAGATTTAACTGTACTTTCAGGAGTGTTATCACAGAAGTATAACTAGATACATGCAACTGAGATTCTGAACTTCTGATTCTGAGTAGACGACCCTCTCTTACTCTCAATTCTCCATTCCTACAAGGAACTCCTCCCAATGCTGGAGACATGACTGGGGATGCCACAGCAGCTCTCATCTTCCCATGAGTAAAGAAGCTGCTCTTGGATGCCTCACCTAATTGAGAGTTCCTGGGGCTCCCATAAGAGCAATGTCTTCTGGTTTCCAAGAAGAAGCAGATAGCTGTTTTGCATAACTTGGGAGCACAGTCTGGGTATCACTCATGCCTGCAATCAGTGTTGGCAACCAAATACTGTCTGGTCAAACTCCAAACCACAGGTTGGAAGGAGGCTTCAAGTTGCCATTTTGTTTATCCTCTCTTAAAGATGAAAATCACACCTAATTTAAGATACCACTTTTCATCACTCATTCAAGTATTTAACAAATATCACTGTCATTAAAAGCAGTGGGCATATTCCTTTGGCCCCATGTAACTTCTGATCCTATAGGGTAGGAGATAGCTGGAAGAAGCCCATAACAGCATGTCTCAGAAGGGCAGGGATGGGTAAATGCCACAACTCTAGAGATGTCCAACCTGGAGGAACATCTGTCCTAGATTGAGGTAGAAGTTTTGGTCATAGTCCTTCACAGATTACCAACTTGCACACAGGCTTGCACTGAATGAATGTTCCAGTTTACATCCATCATCTCTGTCACTTCAATTCCATTTACATTAGCCATTGCTGTTGCTAAGGCATTATATACTATCATATTTTATTATTGTTGTTTTTTGTTTATACAGGTCAATTTTTAGCTCTGTTAAAATAACCACATGTTACAAACCCCAACAACTTTCATTCTGTGGGACACTAAAAATGTCCTAGCAGGCCTTCCTCACTCCAAAACACAATTCCGTCCCAAACCGCCCTCTCCATTCCTTAGGTTTAAAAGAGTAACAAAAATAATTTTACAACACTGCTCTCAATTTGTAAAGCTATTAAGAGGCTGTCCAGATTTCAATCTGGAGAAAAGAAAACATAAATCAAGAATATGGGAGAACTGTGTAGCTCTGATCCCAGACATTGTATCTCAGTGGTGTAATGGAAAGGACCCAGCCTTTGGAATCAGGCAGACAGAGCTGCTGCTAATTAGATTATCATAGACTATTTATTTAACCTCTCTGAACCTGTTTTCTCCTGTGTTGCAATCAAGTTTGCTAACAAACACTTTTTAAGCTCTCATTATTTGCTGGGTGCTGTGACAAGCACTGAGTATATAGCTATAAATAAAACAGGTATGGTCCATATCCTCATGAAGAGTACAGTCTATCAGGATCAAATTAAATGAAACAATATAATGTCAAAGGTCTATCACAAAGTAGATATTCAATAAATATCAGTTTCGTTCCTTCTCTTCAAACATACTGTCGTTATTATAGCTCAACATAGTCAGTAAGATAGCTACTGACAATTTCATAGGTACAATTTTATAGGAAGCCCAAATACTTATGGAATACAAAGCTTAGTATTATGCCTCATAAAATTTAGTTCTACCTATGGTCTTGATTTAATTCCCTGTAACCATGGATTTCTATTTATAGTCCACAATGAATCCATATTTCGGGTGGAGTTCAGGTAATTAAATACACGTTTATCCTTTTAGATGGCTTGTGAAGTGAATGAGAACAGGTATTACCATTAAACTCAATTTACAGAAAAGGAAGTTAATGGAAGCAGATTCTTTATGCCCCTTTTATCCCCTAGTCCTAGTCTGCACAGAGGAAGCACTCAATAGATGCTATTTACACGTGGATTTCCAACAACTCAAAAAGGAGAGGTACTCCAAGGGTTAGCGGAGACTGACTCGGGGCTGCACTGCGGCAGCTCAACTTTTGTCTTTTCCCTCCTCTAGATGGGTGAGAAATGGGTGACTGGAGTTTCCTGGGGAACATCTTGGAGGAGGTGAATGAGCACTCCACGGTCATCGGCCGAGTCTGGCTCACTGTGCTTTTTATCTTCCGGATCCTCATCCTTGGCACGGCTGCTGAGTTTGTGTGGGGTGATGAGCAGTCCGACTTTGTGTGCAACACCCAGCAGCCAGGCTGCGAGAACGTCTGCTACGACGAGGCCTTCTCCATCTCCCACATCCGCCTCTGGGTGCTACAGATCATCTTCGTCTCCACGCCGTCGCTGGTGTACGTGGGCCACACCGTGCACCACGTGCGCACAGAGGAGAAGCGCAAGGAGCGTGAGGCAGAGAAGCTGTGCCAGCAGGCAGCAGGCAACTGGGACGAGAGGGGGCCGCAGCCCCCTGACCAAAGCAGCTTCAGGAAAGGAAGCAGCAGCAGCAGCAAAGGCACCAAGAAGTTCCGGCTGGAGGGGACCCTGCTGAGGACCTACATCTGCCACATCATCTTCAAGATGCTCTTTGAGGTGGGCTTTATAGTGGGCCACTACTTCCTGTATGGGTTCCGGATCCTGCCCCTCTATCGCTGCAGCCGGTGGCCCTGCCCCAATGTTGTGGACTGCTTTGTGTCACGGCCCACAGAGAAAACCATCTTCATCCTGTTCATGTTGTCTGTGGCCTCTGTGTCCCTCTTCCTCAATGTTCTGGAGATGAGCCACCTGGGCCTGAAGAGGATCTGCTCTGTCTTCAAGAGGTCCGTAGAGCAGCCACTGGGGGGGATTCCAGAGAAGCCCCTCCACTCCATCACTCTCTCCTCCATTCAGAAAGCCAAGGGCTACCAGCTCCTCGAAGAAGAGAAAATAGTGTCCCACTATTTCCCTTTGACTGAGGTTGGTATGGTGGAGACCGGCCCACTTTGTGCCAAGCCTTTGAGCCAGTTTGAGGAGAAGATGGGCACAGGGCCCCTAGGGGACCTGTCAGGGGCTTACCAAAAGACACTGCCTTCCTATGCTCAGGTGGGAGGACAAGAGGTTGAGGAGGTCAAGCAACCAGTAAAGGGAAGAGCAGAACCTGAGGTGGTTGATAAGAGGCAGGAAGCAGAGAGATTGAGCACAGGAGGGCAGGGGATTGCAGCAATGTTGGAGGAGGAGGAAATAGAGGCCCCCAGAATGGAGAAGGAGGGTGAGGAACAAGAGCTGCTGGCTGAGAAGGTGTCAAAGCAAAGCCTGCCCACTGAGAAGACACCTTCCCTGTGCCCAGAGCTGACTGGGGATAACACCAGACCCCTAAGCAGGCCGAGCAAAAACAGCAGCCGGGCCAGATCAGACGATCTAATCGTGTGAAGTGGTGCCAAATAAAGAAACACCTGAGCTAACCCATAGGGCAAGAGGAAAGGAAAAGATGACAACATGATCTGAGTCTTCTGTTCATCCCCTCACACTCACCCTGGTTAGACAGGCATGCAGTGGTACAGTGCATGTTGTACAACTAAGAAACTGTCTTTCCCATTTATAGGCTATCAATGTAAACACATTGTCCTGGAAAAGTTTTCAGTCTCATATGACTGCCCTGCTCCTCTACCCCAACTTCTATGGGACACTGCTTTGGTCTCCATTTCTCCATAGAAATCCTTCTGATCAGTGTTGCAATCGCCTCATAGCCTTTTACTGGCATTGTCTCAAGCACACTAATTCTGTCAGACTTTGTCACTCCGGCCCTTCCCTAGCAGACACTATGTGACCCTATATCAGGGATCCCAAATGTAAATACCTACAGAACACAGGCAGGTGACTTCGACTGGTGAGGTGGTCTTGTTCTAATGCCATGGGAGACCTAGGGCTGTGAGAATTGGAGAGCAGAGGGCAGCTGCTGTTCCATTCCAAGCAGTGATTACCAGGCAATGTTACCTGGCTATCTGATTTTTTTCAAGAGAAGCCAGAAATGCAAACATTTAAATGAAATTTCTAATATTTTTAACTAAAAATAAGTACATCAACTGAATTTTAAATATGCCATGTGGGCCAAAAAAACTGTGGGTAAGCCAAATTGAACCTGTGTGGTACCTGTGTGGTTGCAAGGTCAGCTTACACTAGTGAGCCCAGCTTTCCTATGGTATTGCTCATATTTTTTTTATAGTTTTGACTCCTTTTTGTAGCTTCTGAACCCCATTGCACCATTTTGGAGTGTTCAGTTGAAATCATCAGTCCAAGAGATACCCAGAGTTCTCACTGTCCTTTCTTTTGAGTCACTGTAGCCCCTGGGTTCAGACACAATTACATCCCTCGTATTTTTGGAATTCTGCCCTGAGAACGATGAGAGAAAGAAAGCAAGACCCCAAACCCTCTCCTTGTGAACTAAAAAGGCTCTAAGTCCTGGTAGCAATTTTCTTCCCTGAAGCAAAGAAAGCCCTTTTCTTTCCTTTTCTTTTCTAACATCAGTGCTTAGCCTAAAATATACACCTCTTTTCATCAGAACAGGGAGTAAGGCTAGCTTTGAGCCAAAGGATACCTGCCCACAGACCTGTTTCAAGGAGAGTAAGCTCTCAGGCACCAATTGTGTAAGAAAAAGCCCATCAAACTGGCACTAGGAACTGTCTCTTACAAATACTAAGTCCTAACAGCCAGGGCCCCAGTTCAGTACCAAGCCAGGCTTCAACCCTGGAAGGGATGTAGAAACTGAAGGGAAGAAGAGGGTACTTGAAGGTCTCCTATGCTTCATTCCACAACCAATAATCTTCAAACATAGAGTCCAGTTAGGGGAAATCCTCAGGTACAAGTACATATTTCATACAGGGACCAATTTTACCTAGATCCAATCAATGCTCAAAGCAGAGGGAGAAAATCAGCAGTCACCAAGTTGGTTCATCTAAACCAAAGTTATGCTTCATGGACTACAGTGTCAAGGCTAAGGTAGGATGGATATAAACCAAGTTGACATGGCAGGGATCAGGACAAGAGACCACCAAGGGACTCAGAAAGGTACCTCGAAAAATTTCATTCTGTTTTCCCCATAGCCAGCATCATCCTAAAGTATGCAAATCCCTGGTACTGCCCTCTGCTTACCAACTTCTTTTTTAAATATTTATTCCAGAGTAGAGACTCCTCTAAAGCCATTCTTCCCCCATGACAATATTGCCATTTCTTGATAGCCCATTCTAAAGCAAAAGGGTCTAAAAAATGAAGTTCATTCTAAGGTCTGATTGTTTGATAATTACTCCAGGAGAAATTTACATTTTACATTTACAGTTGTGTTATTATCATCCTTTAACCTCCCTGTATACCAGTTTTCTGTCTACAAACTAGAGATAGCATTTGCTACCTACTTACCTCCAGGGGTATCATAAGGATTAATGAGTCGGTACCCAAACCTGGAGCTTGCTGAGTGGTGCCACTTCCTGAGTGGTTCCTCCAACATCAGGAAGACTGGGAAGAAGGGCAAGTAGGTGCTTTCCATCTGTCCCTCCCCATCTGTCTTGCCATTGGTGAGTTTTTCAGTGTGGAATAGACACTCCAGAGATCAATTTTCTTAAAGAAGACTCAAAACAGAATCTTGGACACTGTATGTTAAGTAGGAAACTGAGACTCTTACCTTGAGAAATGTCTGAGGACAGATTAGCAATTACTTTTATCCTCTAAAAAATGTCCCTTCATGCCCATCTCAAGCTACCACACACCTACTGTCAGCTTCCATTCACAGGCATCTCTGGCTCCATGGAGGCACTTATTCTTACTATATAGCTGGATCTCTCCATATATGTTTTGAAGCAAGTAATTATGGCTGACTCAGGATTATAATCCTCCAGGGCTCCATCAGCTCCAGTTTTAAATCCTACTCCTTGTCCTTCCCTTTAGGGCACATGGACCTATCAATAAAAATATTGGAGAGCAGGACATAAAGAGTATCATTCCCTTCAGAGGAAAAGGATTAATTGATTAATAGCAGTTATAACACATCCATCAGGGGAAGTCTGTGACCAGGAGGGAAAGAGTTACTCAAAGTTCAGTTAGAAAGTTTCCAGACTGACTCTGTCATTGCCATGCCTAGCATTTGGAGCACTACAAACAGGCTTATCTGCTTTTCACCACGACTTTGTCTCTTGCCACACAGGTGAAGCATCCAACACAGAATTAGACAAATATTCTGAAGATCAATAAGACCTGGGTTTCAGCTTTTCCCATAAAGAGCAATAAAGTTCATGTCAAAAGTGTTGGCTATTCCTTGTTGACTCTGGGAACACAGAGATGTCACATACATGTTCTGCATGACAATTTTCCTCTCAATTAACTAAGGGTAACAAGTTTTGCCCCTCCTTCACAAGATAAAGCAAGTGAATTAATACCCAAGAAACACTATAAGCATACTACAAGAAATAAGTAGGTTTTCTTTAAGTCACTAATTTGGAAACAAAAGAAATGAAGGCCTATCCAAATTGGTCATATGTCCTTTTTCTAAAATGTGTACTGAAACTGACAGTCACCACTTACAAATACATTGTTGACTAAGATACTGATTATTGACTAAGATATTGAAGTATCCTTCAAAATGAAGGAAGTAAATGAGGGGAGGGAAATGTGAACATTTCTGTAGTCCTGAATTCCTAAGAATTATACTACAAAAAAAAGAACATCTTTAATCATGCAAGAATTCATTGCTGAAGGTGGTGCAGCAGGTACTCAGTTTACTGTTGTAAAGATGCACCAGCCTCTGAGACAGCCTCTGACTCCTGGCAGAATGGAGTCATTCCACAGATCCTGAAAGAACTGCATTCAGTCCAAGTCATGTGAAAGGCCTGGGGCAAGGCTACTATAGACACTACTCTTCATGAGTTCCTGAGGAGGGTCATTAGGGCATGCTTGGGGTAAGAATGAGCATACCACTGCCACAGCATCTATCACCCTGCTCCCACTACCTCTTCCTCTTTCCTTCCCCTGACCCTGAATTATCCCTCTATGCAGGTTCTGTGGAAATGATCACACAACACAAGTTGGCAAAATTTAGATAAAAAGGGTTTTACTGGTTGAATGGAAACCTCTGTGAGCATAAACACAATCTATAAAATGAATTAAGTATGTACCTAGAAGTGATAGTGAAATAACCAGAGAAACTTTCCCTTCTTGTAATTATTATATTACAATTAAATATGTAATTGGGAAGGAAGGAGAAAAGAGAAACCAAATTCTGGGTTCAACAGTTAGATAATGTTACCGTGGAATGAGCAGCTAGAGGGGAAATAATGGCAGGGTCCTCACTATTACAATCTAACAGAGAACTAATTTGACTTTTTACCATCTTTGTGTTTTCTTTTGACCTGTCAGCCCAGCTAGACTGTGAAGAATCTGCCCCTGATTCTTGTTATTCTTCCTTTGAAATTAAGGAGCTGGGGAACAAGAGGACTAGGATATGGTGAGGGCGAGAGTAGTATGATGGTAAACATTTAACAACCAGCTCACTCTGGAGTTAAGAGGCTCCAGTTTGTATTGTTTGCCAATTTCCTTAGTGTTAATTCTCCCACCATCACCAATTTCAAGCTACCAACATAATGTCACTGAATACAGAGATGAGAAGAGATGTAGAGTAGCGTGACATTATAAAATATTTCCACCATACAATAGATATAAATGAACTCAAGAGCATGGGTAATAGTTGTGGGGTCAATGGACATGGCCTTTCCTTGTCCCATGACTGAGAGCTGATCACAGGGCCCTGGCCAGAAAGAGTGTGTATTGTTTTGGTAATGGATTTCAACTCCCTCCTTATCCCCTTTTGGGACTGGCTTCTTGTCCCGTGACTGCTTCTTGATCTTTTCCTTCTGCAAATACACACCAATGTTATGTAACTCTGAGCCACAAGTAGGTTTGTGTAACCTGAACCTATTCTGCCTTTGTCTAGGACCTCTTATAATGAGCGTCAGACTGGAGGAAGTGTGGTCTCTCTCACACTGATCCACTGCCTTTGGTGCACTCCCCTGTAATGAGAGTAATAAACAGCCTGTCCACATCTGCTCATCCTCTGGGTGGGTGGGTGTTTGTTTGTTTGTTTTTCCAGAATATCACAAACACTTAAGCAGCTCCCTGGTTTGGAGCTCCTGTGTGACAATAAAAGAGTTAAGAGTTATACCCTGGCTGGTGTGGCTCAGTGGATTGAGCACTGGTCTGTGAACCAAAGGATCATGGGTTTGATTCCAATGCAGGGCACATGCCTGAGTTGCAGGCCTGGTTCCTGGTAGAGGGTACATGAAATGCAACCACACATTGATGTTTCTCTCCCTCTCTTTCTCCCTCTCTTCCTCTCTCTAAAAATAAATAAATAAAGTTTAAAAAAAGTTAAAGGGTAGTATTTATTA